TGCTCCCGTAAAGATTTACAGCCTCAGAAACCCTGTACAGGGTCGCTATGAGTCGGAACTGACTCCACGGCACATAACAACAACAACAACAACAATGCCTGTTAAGCTAAGGAGCCTCTGGTAGCGTAGTGGTTACGAATCGGGTTGTAAACCACAAGATCGGCAGTTCGAAACTACCAGCTGTTCCGCGGGAGGAAGATGAGGCTTTCTGCTTCCGTAAAGATTTACAGCCTCAGAAACCCTGTACAGGGTCGCTGTGAGTCGGAACCGACTCCATGGTATATAACAACAACAACAACAATGCCTGTTAAAGCCTTACAGGGACATTTTCGCTCATTAACTCCCAGAAATTCATTCCCTGTAACAAAGCTTTAGAAAGCACAGTACCTGTTCTCACGTAGGATCTCAGTGTGACATAAACGTTTATCATTTCAGTCATGGTTCAGTTTGGTTCTTTCGGCTTTTATACTTTTGAAGTGTTAGAAGTGTTAGCTTTGCAGATATCTGTATGTAATTTAAATTTAAATTGAACTTTATGCTCCCTGACTCACTCAAGGCCTCCTGAGGAATTCTTCTTTGAATTTAGAAAACATAATTCTTTGAAGAAATCTGTTTTTATTTCTTGCTGGTAAACCTGGCCTTCCATTCAGTCCCCATTTGTTGGAGAGTAGTTAATTTCTACTGTGGAATCTTGGTGTGATGCTGTAGGTATGCACTGAATGGCTAACTGCAAGATTAGGAGTTTAAGCCCACCAGCTGCTCCTCAGAAACCCTATGCAGGGCTGCTGTGAGTCAGAACCAACTTGACGACACACAACAACAAAAACAATAAATGTTGTAACTGTAACAATTGTCTCTCAAAAAAGAAACCCAAACCTGGAAGCCATTGAACTGATCCTGACTCACGGTGATCCCACATGTGGCCAAGTAGAACTGTGCTTCAGGGCGGAAGTAGTTCACCAGGCCTTTCTCTGAGGTGCCTTGGATTGTCAATCTTTGCTTGTTCTTCAGTGCCATCGAGTCCGTTCTGACTCAGTGCGCTGGATAGGGTTTCCAAGGAGCGGCTGGTGGGTGTGAAACCCTGAGCTTGCAGTTCACATTTGAATTTGTATCTTACTGCGCCACACCAGGAATTCACCATCTGTACCACACAGGGACTCCGTGTTTCTCCCTAGACCCTATTCGGTAGTGGTGTTGTTAGGAAGTGCCGTTGAGTTGGTTCCAACCCATAGCAACCCTGTAGAGGGTTTCCGAGGACCAACTGGTAAGCTTGAACTGCCAACCTTGCCGTTTAAACTGACTTTGCAGTCCAGCGCATTAACCCACAGTGCCACACCAGGACTCCTATTTGATAGATCCTATTAAATGTTATTCACCAGCTGCTCCTTGGAAACTGTATACAGGGTTGTTAGAGGTCAGACCCGACTCGATGGTACTTAACAATAACAACAACAACATTAAATATTATAGGAGGTAGTAATTTTACTTTTTTAAATGGACTGTAGTTAGCAAAAAATGGCTCATCTAGCTGAAATGGTGGTGGTTCAGACTCACCGCCAGGTACACTGAAAAACAGGCCACAGCCTGAAAACCTTGTGGAGCTCACATGGGGTGACCTTGGGTCAGAATCAACCTGTCAGTAACTAACAATAACCACAATGGCATTGTTGTGGTTGTTTGGTGCCGTCCAGTCAGTTGTGATGCATAACAACACTCTGTCGGGTTTTTGAGACTCACTCAATCTTTGTGGGAACAGAAAGCTGCCTCTTTCTCCCTTGAACAACAATAGACCTTTGAGAAATAAAGTAGTTATTAATTGCTTTTAAAACTGTGGAAATTTCTTTTTAGGAGAACCCCCAATCAAAAGAAATTTGTTACATGAATTTGACATGATAGCAGAAAATCAAAAAAAATCCTTCCAAGCTGCCTCTAAAAGCACTCCAGATGGTAAAGTTATTTTCTCCTTCTCTTTTTCCATGTGTAGGTATGTGATGTAATATCTGTAAAGCTCTCTTTCTCGCCTTTTTTGGCGTGTCTGTATAAATTGGAGATAGCGTTGCTGTGTTGTTGTAGTCAATTTGTTAACCTTACACCTAGCCTTGTGTTTGAATGAATTCTCCGTGATAAAGCCCAGTGGGGCCCTGAGGCTCTCCATAACTAGTATAAAATAATTTTTATATTTATAAAGTAGATTATAAAATAATGACATTTGGGGGATTTTATTGTTGACTTTAGTGAGAGCTTGGTGTTGTGAAAGCTCGGGTTCGGGAGTCTAGGCAGGCTCCCCCCACCAGTCACCGGTCACCGCACGAGCTCTCCGTGCTGCAGACCCAGGAAGTAGCTGCTCTGCCATCAGCATGTGACTCAGTCTGTTGTTGCTGGTGGACCACTCCTGTCCACCTGTGCTAGGTCCTGTCCCGCCACCACTGGCTGCCGCCTCTGGAAGTTTGCCCTGTTCTCCTGACGCTACACTTTGGGAGAAGGAGCCATGGTGGCACAGTGGTTAAGCACTCAGCAGCTCTTTGAAAGGTTAGTGGTTTGAACCCACCAGTAGGAGAAAGATGTGGCAGTCTGCTTCTGCAAAGATTGTCGGTTTCAGAAACCCTACCGGGGAGTACTACTCTACCTGACAGAGTCCTGTGAGTCTGAATGCCTTGACAGCGAACACCCCCCACCACCCTTGGAGCGCCCTGGGTCTCTGTCCTGAGGCTCTTCTCTGACTACACTCCAGGGTCAGGCTAAGTTAGGTCTGCAGGCTCTGCCTGTCTCAGAACTTCAGAAAGATGAGGCTGTCTGCTCCCACCAAGATGTCCAGTCTCAGAAACCTATGGGGTCGCTGTGAGTCAGACCCGATCACAGTGGTTTGGTTTTCATGGTTCAGAGGCTTAGAAGTCCCACAAAAGCAATCAAGAACGTTGTGGGATTCTCCAACTCCTCCCCCATTTAATGATAAAGAATTGAGAGTTATCCTAAAGCCAGAATGGGTTGAATGTCTGTTAATGGGGGCAAAAGCCATCAATGTCATTGGGATGTAAATGTGGAAGTTGTGGGTGAGTGTTTGCATACGTATTGTTTAGCAGCAGTTAATAAACAAGGACTAAACGGTTAAATGTTCCGAAAATGGCATCTGCTTCTGTTGCTCTTTTCTTCTGACGCTGTGGTTCTCGAGCTTTACATAATTTCCTTTCATAAACTTGAGAAGGAACGTTTAAGGAGTCTATGCCGTTGTTGTCCTTAGAATATATATTATTATGGATTTGTTGTTGTCGTTGCTAGGTGCCATCCAGTCAGCACTGACTCATAGCAACCCTATCCTGTGTACAACAGAATGAAACACTTGCCCGGCCCTGCACCAACTTACATCATTGCTTCACTTGAGCCCAATGCTGCTGCCATTGTGTCAACCCATCTTTTTGGGGGTCTTCCTCTTTTTCACTGACCCTCCACTTTATTAAGCATTTTACCTGCCTTCTCCAGAGACTGGTATCTCCTTATGATGTCTGACGTATGATAGACAAAGTCTCATCGTCCTGCCTTCAAAGGATTATTCCGGTTATCCTTCTTCCCAGCACAGGTTGCTTTGTTCTTTTGGAAGTCCATGGTACTTTTAATATTCTCCTCCAGTACCATAACTCAGTTCTTCTATGGTCTTTCTTATTCATTGTCCCACTTTCACATGCATACGTGGTTATTGAAAATACCATGGCTTGGGTCAGGCACACCTTAGTCCTCAAACTGACATCTTTGCTTTTCAACACTTTAAAAAGGTCTTGTGCGGCAGATGTGCCTAATGCAATAGGTCGTTTGATTTCTTGACTGCTGCTTCCATGAGTGTTGATAGTTGATCCAAGAAGAATGAAGTCCTTGACAACTTCAATCTTTTCTCTGTTGATAAGAATGTTGTTTATTGGTCCAGTGGTGAGGATTTTTGTTTTCTTTACATTGAGATGTAATCCATACTGAAGGCTATGCTCTTTGATTTTCATCAGTAAATGTTTTAATCATCTTCACTTTCAGCAAGCAAGGTTGTATCATCTGCATATCACAGGTTGTTAATGAATCTTCCTCCAATCCTGATGCCACCTTTTTCTTCATATAATCCAGCTTCTTGGATTATTTGTTCAGTATACAGATTGAATAAGTATGCTGAAATAATACAACCCTGGCACACATCTTTCCTAATTTTAAACCATTCAGTGTTCCGTGTTCTGTTCGAACAACTGCTTCTTGGTCTATGTACAGGTTCCTTATGAGCACACTTAAGTATTCCAGAATACTTTGCAATGTTGTCCATAGCTTGTCATGATCCACACAATTGAAAACCTTTGTGTAGTCAATAAAGCACAGGTAAACATCTTTCTGGTATTCGCTTTTAGCCAAGATCCATTTGGCGTCAGCAAGATCCATTGCACGTCCTCTTCTAAATTTTTTTTTCTGTTCTTTCAGTTTGAGAAATGCTGAGCGTGTTCTTCCTTTTTGGTTTTCTAACCCCAGGTCTTTGCACATTTCATTATAATATTTGACTTTGTCTTCTCAAGCTGCCCTTTGAAATTTTCTATTTAGCTCTTTTACCTCCTCATTTCTTCCATTTACTTTAGCATCTCTACACTGGAGAGCAAGTTTCAGAGTATTTTTTGACATCCATTTTGGTCTTTTCCTTCTTTCTTGTCTTCTTAATGACCTTTTGCTTTCTTTCTGTATGATGTTCTTGATGTCACCCCACAACTCTTCTTGTCTTTGGTCATTAGTGTCTAATGCATCAAATCTGTTCTTGATGTTATCTGTAAATCCAAGATTATATCTTGACCCTCATGGACTTGTTTTAAATTTTTTAAGCTTCAGCCTGAACTTGCATATGAGCAATTGATGGTCTGTTTCACAGTCTGCCCCGGCCTTGTTTTGTCTGATGATATTGAGCTCTTCCACCATCTCTTTCCACAGATGTAGTCAACTTGGTTTCTGTGTATTCCATCTGATGAGGTCCATGTATATATATTAGTCTTTTATGTTGTTTAAAAAAGGTCTTTGCAATGAAGAAGCCATTGGTCATGCAGAATTCTTATCATTTGATCTCCAGCGTCATTTCTATCACCAAGGCCATATTTTCCAGCAACTCATCTTCCTCTTGGTTTCCAACCTATGCATTCCAGTTGCCAGTAATTATCAGTACATCTTGATTGCATGTTTGAGTCATTTCAGACTGAAGAAGTTGGTAGAATTCTTCAATTTCATCATCGCTGACTTTAGTAGTTGGTACATAAATTTGAATACCAGTTGTATTTTGTATTTACAGCGTACCAAGATCAAATTTCACTCAAAACAATTCCTATGTATTTTCCTGCGAACTCAATGAGTAGATGCATTTGTTTCCATTGATTTTCAATTTAGGATTTTTTTTTTTTTTTTTAATTTAATTTTGCATTTGTACATGTATCACATTTGCATAGTTCATCTGCCAAATCTCTAACTAGAAAGGCATAGTTGGACAAGTCTTCTTTCCATCTGTGCCCTGTCTATACTCCATACTGGATTTATATTTCTTGCTCACTCTAGCCCATTGCTTTTGAGTCAATTCTGCCTCGTGGCGACCCTGCAGAACAGAGTGGAACTTACCCTTAATCGTCTTTACTGGAGCACATTGCCTTCTCTTTCTTGCGCAGAGCGGCCGGTGGGTGTAAACACTACCACCATGATGCCTTTCCTCGCTATGCTGTTGTTTGTTATTGTGTGCCATCAAGTCAGTCTGACTCATAATGATCCCCATATAGAGTCACCAACCTTGCTATTAGCGGTCCAGCACTACACCAGGACACCTATCAGTCATTGTGCTGTATAGTTTTCAGTTTCCCTTGGCTAAATTTTTGCTCATGTCTTTTGTATTTGTATTCTGTGTTTATGCTGGGTTGTTTGTGTTTGTTTTTGTTTTTGTGGGCATGTTTGCTCTATGATTTAATTAGGAATGTAGTTGTCATTTTATGAATCAAAATTTTCTTTTGTTAGTTATTTACTTAGTATCCATTATTGTTGGCAACTACTGTTGAGAGGTTCTGACTACGTAGTTACCCTGTATGGGGCTCCCAAGGCTGTATATCTGTACTGGAACAGAAAGCCTCATCTTTCTCCTGGGGAGTGGCTGCTGGGCTTGAACCACTGACCCTGTGGTTCACAATCCAGTGCTTATCCTCTAGAGCCACCACACTAATGTATCCATTGTCGTTAAATACCATTGAGTCAGTTCTAACTCATAGCAGTATACAAGGAGTGGCTGGTAGGTTGAAGCCACCAACCTTGTAGTTATAAATATCTCAGAATTGTTTGTGTAAATATTTATAATATCATGTATAATAATAAACTGACATAGGAAATAAAATTACCCATTCGATTTTCAGTGATACGTAATGTAAAACAGTAATGTTTTTCTAGGGATAATGAAAGATAGAAGATTATTTATGCATCATATTTCCCTAAAGCCAATCACCTGTGCACCGTTTTGGTAAGCCAGCTTTACATTGTTATTGGGTGTTTTTTTTTAATTCATAAAATGTGATATAGTGGGCTTTATAATAAATACATATTTTTAAAACTCATGGCTGCTCTTCGTCACTAGCAGTACAGTCTTGAAACCATGTGCCAGGTTTGAACATTTCTCTCATTTTATTAGTGCTACTTCTATTATTCTGTTTCTTGAAATTTCATGATTTTGTGATGACGAATTAGATAAAATGAATTTGATTCCAGTTTTGCAGGGGAGTGCTGAGGTTCAGAGAGATTAAAGAAATTATAACAAATCAATTAACAAAAAGATGTCAGACCTCAAAGCTAATCTTTTCCATCTCTTGTCCCTCTCAAAACCCTACTAAAATTGGTGGAGGTGGTATGCTGTGTAGTCAGTTCTGGCTCATTGCGACCCTGCATAGAGTTTCCGAGGCTGTAAATCTTTATAGAAACAGAAAGCCTTATTTTACCCCCCATGATAAATGGCTGATAGTTTCGAACTGCTGACCTTGAGGTTAGCAGCCTGGCTTGTAACCACTGCCTTACCAGAGAAAATTAATAAGAGTTAAAACAAAACCATAAACCCAGAAGCACCAAGATCAGGTGGACCAGACACCATACCACGTTGGAAGCCAGAAAGCAGCCAGTGACTGGATGAGCCCGAGAAAACGAAGCCTCTGCCACCATTAGAGCAGAGGAGGCCGTGAGACTCGGGAAGATGCTAGACACAGTTGTGGGGTGGGGGGGTGGGGGGAAGATGCTAGACACAGTTGTGGGGTGGGGGGGTGGGGGGAAGATGCTAGACACAGTTGTGGGGTGGGGGGGTTGGGGAAGATGCTAGACACAGTTGTGGGGGTATGAGGGAATCAAGTCATGAGACTCCCTAGCCATCTTCCTGCCTGACCCAACCAGCCCTCTGGCCAAGTACTGGAAAGGGTTTCTCTTTGGAGTGTGACAAGCCCAACAGAAAAGCCTTCAAAATACAACCAGCTGGAAGCCTGAACTCCAGTCAGGGAAGGAGACCCCTGACGGGCCCGGCTGGCCAGCACCCAGGGTTCCGGTCACTGTGGACTGTGGACACCTAGCCAGGACCACTAGTCCTCAGAAGAAATCTGCTGTGCAAGAGAGCCACAAAAGTGCAAGTGTGAGGTGGTGGGAGGGCCTCTCTCACATACCAAGTGGTCTCACTTTGAAGCAGGACTACAAAGTTACTGAACTCACTAGAAGTGACAGAAGAATAACGTCATGAACACTCCTAGAATGTAGGACACTTAGAGAAATGGGGATGGGAATACAGGGGGTGAAATGGTCATTGGAAATGCCAGACAGATGGGGCTAGATTCCTGACAATGTGGAGGTTGAGAAAGTAGAAATTGAGGAAAAATGAAAGACGTTTTAGAAGAACTGATTTGAGACATTTTACGAGGACTGAAGGACAGGCAATTCTTTGGCTCAGAGGACCCACTGAATGAGCCCAATGAACAAAATGCTCACGTGTAGAGCACCGAGGACAGAGAGGAGCCTTCAGTTTTCCAGAGGAAGAGGAACGCAGGATTCAGGTCAAGTTTTCAGACTCATAATGGTTTGTATCCTTTCATCATCAACAACAGAAGCTAGTGGAGTATAGGCTCTAGAATACATAACGTTAAATGCCTGCCAAATTCTGAGAGAAAATGGTTTCCAACCTAGAATTCTGCCTGTCACTGCGCAGAATGTCAGTTAAGTATGGGGTAAACATTTCTCAGATGTGCATTGTCAAAAAAGTTCTCTGCCATTTACTTGTCTTGGGAAATGAGTAAAATCGTGCAGGAGGAAGACCTAGGACTTAAGAAACAAGAATTCAACACAGGACTGAGGCAGCAGGACTCCGCAGGGTGCAAATGGCTGTGCTGCTAGACCAGAGAGGAAGCCGGACCACCTGGAACAGGAGACCAGAGAGCCCTGACAGAGTTTGTGCTGATAAGATAAAATTAAGCATGCCTCAGATTAAGACCTTTCTTGGTGATAGTGGTGAATTGAACATACTCGTGTATTTTCACTGCTTCCTAGCATTTACCCAAATAAAGCGAAGGAATGTCCACACATGCATACTCACACCAAGGACAGGAAGAACGGGAGAGGGGACCACAGCTGCTCAGTTTTTGAAATCATGCAGGAAAAACAGACTCGAAGCTGGTGGTGCAGAGTGGAGGGCCATCCATTTACCCTGAAGAAACCTCAAAAGCTCAGGACTTGATTGGTGTCGGGTTTAGTTGTCTTCAGAATCGGACAGTGGAAAGAGAGGGAGCCAAGATAAGGAGGGGTAAGAGCATGTTAAGAAGCAATCAAATCTCCTTCCCTCCTTAAAACTGGGCCCACCTGAACTAGACTAGAGGTCGGCTCTCCAGAGAGGGCACAATGGAAGGTTCCTTTATTGGAGAACACAGTAAGCACAGATGAAGGCAGATGTAATGCACTGAAAGCCAGGGGGATACTTATGCAAATGAAAATAATGAAGACATATAATCAAACTTTCCAAAATCAAAGACACAGAGTGAATCCTAAAAGCAGCTCAGAAAAAAAAAGGCTACAAAGGAGAATGAGTAAGACTAAGCTCTGATTTCTCAGCAAAGTCCATGTAGGCAAGAATGACATATACAAAACTAATGGAAAAAAATGCTCCAACCAAGAATCCTATACCCAGCAAAGCTATTCCTCAATTACAACAGCAGAATTACAGGACATTTCCTGGTAAACAGAAATTAAAGGAATTTGTAATACCAGACAAACTTTACATTTACAAAAAAATGCTAAAGGGTATTCTTTGGTCTGAGAACCAACAACATCAGACAACAACCTGAGATTACCATATATGACACCACCCAGAACTCAATCCACATATGGAAGTATTTAAAGTAAAACCTAAAAGACTGAAAATGGGGAG